AAATGACCTGCAATATCAGAGGCAGTCAAAATTTTGTGGACAAGAGACAGACAATGGAAGTCTCTAGTATCATTGACAAGCAATGTCATTTCCATACTAGATAGCTAAATTCAGTTTCTTATTCTTGAAAAACCCACCTCCAGTATAGCATCAATTGGAAACTTCATACTGTTTTAGCTCCTTGCTCTAAAGTGGAAATAAACGTTAGGAACTAATGCCAGAATTCAGCTTGCATGGTAAAAATAGCCCCTGGTTTGGGCTGATGGTGTTTCCTCTTACTTGGTGAGACACTCTGGAATGAACCTGACTTGCATCGATTAATGGAGAACACTGCTCATATTTTGTGTATATTATGCCGTTATACTTGCAATAAACTTTGAGGAAAAGGCTCAAATGTGGCATGCTATAGAAAGTTATTACCATTTTTTTCTTATTTCTTGCCCCAAACTAGTGATTATCATTTGAAAAAAAAAGAGATTGCTGTATAGTTACTCTTATAAAATCTTACATTCTACATCTAACCAGTTTAAATGGGTACATATTACTGATAGTGAATAGGGTGGTAAAAAGCTGGGAAAAAAAAAACAAAACTCGGCACCCTGAGTAATATGAACCTATAGCAACATGAACCAGGTTGGCCTGGCATAGATGAGATAAATCTTTCCACTGCCACTCTGTTTTCAAGAATTCTAAAACCAGAGAGTAATAAGAACTGTGGCAAATTTTATGAAAACAACACTTTGTTTTCCTAATATGAACACATAGTTCTAAGAGCTACACTTGATGCTAGGAGCAAGCGAGAACTCTGTACCTAGAGAGGACAAGATAAATTTGTAATTAGTATTTTAAGTTGGAAAAAAAATAAGAAATGCGAGCTGTGAATCTGCTGACTTCATATCTGGTTCACAAATAATCAAAGGCACAAGCTCAGTGCCTTCATTTTGAGTTTGCCAGACCACATATAGTTACTCCCAGCCCATCATAAATTGGTGCTTCTCTTTAAGGACCAGAGCCTTCCCCAAGCTGCTTCCTGGAAAGCAGTATGCTCAGGTACCAACTCCACCAATACTGATTCACAAGGGGACCAGGACACTGATTACAACTTGACCTCTAAAAGGGAACATCAAGAAGGTTTCAGGGCTGGGCAAGGTATTTGGGGAATGTAGTTCTGTTGCCAGCCCTTTAAAAGTTCTGAGAAAACTTCACCATCAGCAAATAAAACCATCTAAATGCCAGGCCCACGAGCAAAGAAGGTTAGTGCTATTTACACTGTCAGCTAAAGAAAAAAAAAAGAAAGAAAAAGAAAAAAAATGATAAGCATATGGGGCAATTGAAAGGTTACATCTTTCTTTTGGAGGTGGTTTGCTTCTTAAAGGTTAACTTGAATGCTTGACTTTAAAAAATCAAAATCATCAGCTGCAAACGCTTAAAGCAGTTGGGGGTAGCTTTTGAAGAAGAAAACAAAGGATCTGAAATGTTTGAAAATTACTTAGCCCCCATATAAATGGAGCTTGTATATTTACATGCTTACTCTATAAATGTACACATACACACATACCACAACTCATTTCTCTTCATTTCTCAAATACGGTTGCTTGTAGTCAGGCATCTTTTGTTGACGCAATATAACTTTTTAATAACTTGTTAGCTGTTCTAATCAGTTGATAGTGATAGAAAACAATGCAGTCAAAATATGAACCAGGACGGCTTTCTGCCTAAATCAAAATCCACAGCTACACACACAAAACAGCCATTTGCAGCATCTTCAGCTCCTGCTAAATAGGGTCTAACAATATATTTTGCTGTTCACATTCATGTATTTCAAAACCTAATAGCCCATGAAGAAAAGTAGAAAGAATACATCCCAAGAAGCAAACATTAAAGGTACCAGCAAAATAATAGACTACATTTAAGTTTGAAGCATTATTTCAGGCAACCTACAACATTAATAACTTTTTCTTTGGGATAAGTGTTGGAGAAGAGAATGCATAAGGGGGACTGGCATAAATATTGGCTTCTACTATAAAGTTCCTTTCTGGTGAGTGAGGTTATTCACAAACACACACACACAGTACTCCTCAAATGGTTTTCTAAAAAAAAATTATTTGGCATTCAATGTCTAAAAAAGTTTTTAATATGGAGTAGTTTTGAAGTAAACATTTATCCCTAAAATTTATCTTTAAAATATCCTACTTAAATCATATATCATAGTATGATATTTTATTATTATACTATGTTATTAAAGTTTAAAAGGGCATCAGGTACATAACAAATAATGAGACATTTATATTTCCAAATTTGAAGTAAACTGCTTTCAGGAATGGTCAAAGGAAAAATACACTCATTGACTATCTTCCTAAATACACTAACAAAGTTATAAAAGTACTGTTGTTATTATTATTATACTTATATCAGACTCCCAGACATTCTAATCTCTAAAGGAAAGGGAAGGATTATTAATTGAGGTGTTTACCTTTCTTTCCTAGAGAGATGAGCTATTTTCTATGTTTATTAATTATTGGCCCTAATGTCTGGAATCACTTCAACTACTATGCTGTTAGTTAATTTTAAACCTTCAGAGCCAACTGGGGCCAGCTTATAGTCTCACAGATTTTCGGAACCAGCAACAATTTCTGCTTAGGTGTTCAACTTCCTTAAATCTCACCAAACCTTGCAAGGTGGCGCTCTTTTCATGAAAGGTTGATCTTTACTCTTATAGATCATAAAAACAATTTTTTAAAAGTTAAACACCACTGTCTCTAGTTTTTGATGTGCTACAGAAAGTGTAGCAAATCCCCTCCGTACCTAGTAAAACTTTGCTGCCTAAAAGTGACAAATACAAATAGCAAGCAATGAAAGGACGAGTCAAAAAAATTTTAAGTGAATTTAACATTTTGATTTTGGAATTGGTCAATGGTACACTTCGTAACAGATATGAGTATCTTAAGGGGTTTTCATACTCTTGAGGGTTTTTCCCTCTTGCTTTCCTTCTCAGAGTCACACATAACATTGTATATTAAAGATGCAAGTCTGGGTTCCTACTTGCCTACAGTGAGGTCAGTTTCCGTCTTGTGCTCTGACACATCAGCACCCTTGCAACTACAGCCAAGGCCCTGATTTGTGATCTCCGGCTACGCTGTCTGCTTAATGGGGCGATCATGCAAGCTACAACCAGAGACAAAGAAGCTCACGTTCCTACCAACGCAGCTAACTTCGAGGGAGCAGCATAGCTTGCAAATCTATCAAACTAAACTGCAAGAAAGACAATCTGATTTAGAGAAAAGGCGTTCTGCTACAGTCATTAAGCACAAGTAATTTAGATTTTTTATATTGTCTTCTCATTTACAAATTTACTGTATCAACGCCAACCAATGGAACAAATTTCTTAAGTAAATGAGAAATAAATAAAAGAGATAGAAAGATAATCAAATTACATAAAATAATTCTCTTCCCTATATGTATTTTTGAGAGAACTAATAACTGGCAAAATTATAGGAATAATAACATATCACAGGAAGTAATTTAAATTAGCATCACGTTTGAAGAAATATAAGTAAAATGCTTTATGGAGGTTTACTTTTGTACAAAGAAGGAAGGCCTGGAAAAGCATGCATCGACATCCTGAAAATTAATTATAGCCATAAATTGTTTAATTGAAGACAGCAATTTAAAATATGATATTGTAAATCTGCAACCTGGTTTCAACTCGGGGAATTTAATTTGGGGGACAGCAGAACCCTTGGCTGCAAGTTCATTTGCAAAGCTGCAGAGCGAGTCCTTGAGCTTCTGACAATTCGCCTACATTAATATTGATGTCGCCTGCGCAATCTATTTCTGTTATTTTTATGGTTGTTATTCTATGTCTGCAAAGGTCATTTAAATTATACTGCGGCCGAAAATTTGTTTCATAAATTTTGATATAAATACTAATTACACCCTCTCGGAGAGCCAGCAGGGTAGCGTTCATTTATCACGTTTATATGACCTGCGATGACAGAAAGGGAAGACTGGTGAGCTTTTCCCAAGACCCACTAAGGCTGGCAGAAGAGGCAGCAGGTTGCCGGGGATGAAGAAGAAATTCCTACCACAATCACTGAGATTTAAGAATCTTTAATAACGTACGAAAGGTTACCAAACAGTTCTGGAAACTAAAGTGTACATACGAGTTCTTCTAGCCATAAATATTGAATAGCTGTAACATGAATAAACCGGCCCTTTACATGCGGATAAATATGGAAACTAGGAATTATATACATTATGTGGTTGTATCTTTTGCCAAAAGCAACGGACAGTTATAGTTTATATCTTTTTTTAATATCACTTTACATAAACAAATGGAACAGTTTGACACGCAGATCCAGGCTCGTACTATACGAATTCTTGACAGGACGTGAAAACAACATTTTACTGCACTAAAGTACTTAGACTTTGGGACGAAATGTTTGCACTTTATACAAAAAAAGCACATTAATACCAATAATATTCTGTTAGATCGACGTGGAGACTGTAATCGTACAAAGTAATTCACATTTTGGTACACATTTACTAGAACATTCTTGCCATTCAGTACAAACAGTTGGCTTTCGGCCGCCCACCCCTCCCCCCTCCGCCCTCCCCCAGCCCCTCCCCCCTCCCCAATGCAAAGACCACAACGCCACGATCCCACCCCACCCTCCCCGTTCCAACCAAGATATAACTATATACAGAATCCAACAGTACAGTTTTAAGCTAATAATTCTGTATTTACAAGAATGCAAAGAAGAAAGAAAAAAAAAAAGCCGACTCCCAGAGAGCCTGTTCAGATTCCCAGGAGAAACTGGCCCTCGGGGTTGGCGGCATTTGGTCAGGCGACCGCCTTCTCTTCCACCCCCCATCCACCCCTTGGCTACCAAGCCTTTGCCAAACTAAGAAAAAAAAAATGTGAAGGTTTGGTGCTTCTCTCTTACTCGGTCCTGGGTCTATCGGCAGGTTTAGAAAAAATAGGATTAGGGGGTGGGGAGGGGACTCTTTTGATGCTCAGGGTTCTTTCAGTAATATTTTGTATGTGTGTGCGTGCTCAGTCTCTTAAATAGGGTTTTGTTCGGTGTTTTGTTTCTGATTTTAAACGTACCATTCGTTAAAATTGGAAGAGAGCGCGCTGTGGCCGGCTGTGTGGTGGACCGCGGAGGAGGAGGGCGACAGGGAGCTGGTGGTCGGGTTGTCTGTGGAGGGAGACACGATGGTGGGCGGCGTGGAGGACTCATAGCCCGAGCTGGCGGCCGGCGAAGGTTGCGAGCCCTGCGAGGAGGATTCGTGGACCTGCGGGAATAAAGTCGCGTTTTTACGGAGATAAAGACCCGCCGCGGCGGCCGCCTGGGGGGATGAAGGCCGCGCGCTGCCTCCCCCAGGAGCCCTGGATCCCCTTGAACTCCAGGGAGGCCGGACCCGCGGGACTTGGGCTTGGTTGCCCCGCCTCGGCCCTGCAGAGGCTGGGCTCTGCGGAGGGACAGTGCCCCGGGGACTCAACAAAAGAAAATATCTAGGAAGGGGGAGGCTGGATGTGAGGCCAGAGCCTGAGATGGTCCTCACGGCAGCCGCTGAACGTTGCTTGCTCAGGGTTAGGTGAGCCAGCACTCAGGACCGCGTGCAAGACCCCAACTCTCTGCCCAACGCTGCCAGCCAAGCCGCCAAGGCCGCAGCTTCGTTCGTCAGCATCATCCCGCTTGGGCTGTCCTGGCTCCCCATCAGTCGCGGCCTCTGCTAGAGTGCTCACTTCTTTTGATTTTTATTATTAAACAGTAAATTTAGAACGCCTTTGGGTGCCCCCATCTCCTCTTCCAGCCCCCGCCCTCTCTGCCCAGCCCCAGTCAGCAGAGAGGAATCGTTGCCTTTCCGCCTCTGCCGGCTCCTGCCACCGCCCGGCTGCCACTCGCCGCCCGACCCCGGCCGAAGAGCTGAGCGGGCTCTTGGCTCCAAGGCGGGCGGCGAGAGCGCGGCGATTACCTTCATGTGTTTGCGCAACGAGCTGGGGTGCGTGTAGGATTTGTCGCACATCTTGCAAAGATAGGGCTTGTCACTCGTGTGCACGTGCATGTGCTTCTTGCGATCGCTGCTATTGGCGAAGCGTCGGTCGCAGCCCTCGAACTCGCACTTGAAGGGCTTCTCCCCTGGTGCGAAAGGCAAGAAAGAGAGGAGTCTGGTTACAACAAACCCCGCGGCTCTTTTTAAAAAATTAAACAAAAGGAAAAAATAAAAACAAAAATTAAAAAGGCGGCGGCCCAGGGTTAACACTTTGCAAGCTCAAAACCGGGATCTTTAACAAAGTCATATATTTGCATTGGAATTTTAAACATCTGAACTATTTTAACCCTTAACCCAATTAGATCCAGATTTTATTATTTTATTATTATTATTATTAGTGGTCGTGGTAGTTTTTTAGATCCCAGAGTAGCAGCAGGTCTGGCTGCTGGTTTTTAGGCCCGGGGCTATACAGACGACTTCAGGCAGCTTCTACCTAGCTCTAGGTTTCTAATTTTCACATTCCGGGCCGATTCTCCTGCTGTTTTGCTCTTCTCTCCTCCCCTTCCCCCCTCCCCGAGGCTCCGCACCCCGCTCGTCGCCGCCCCCACCCCACCCCACCCCTATACACACTCACATTTTATAGGATAATCCGGGCCGAGAGCTCGGCGCCGCAAATTCTTCCCTGGCTCCGGCGTAAAACGCCAAGTTCCAAACGCAGTACTCAGAAATCACCCGGGCAAACCAGGACAGGGAAGCAGACCGGATTCCCGGCCTTGTTGGCCCAAGAGGCCCAGAATGGCCTGCCCGACCCACAAAAGAGCCCTGAGCTCGCCGCGAACTTTTCTTTTAACTCCTCCCGACCGGTCTATTTATTTTTAAAGGCCAACTCAGGGTATTCGGTGTTTCGAAAAGTCCTCACAGAATCTAATTGACAAAACGGACTTCTTTGCCTTCTGCTGACTTCCCCGACTCCTCAAGCCTGCTCACAAACAAGTCACTACTAAAATCGGGGCTCTTTAAATATGCATAAGCCCCCTCAGGCCCGACTGACTTCCTTTCACCATCGCCACCCCCTCTTTTCTGTCTCTATTTTTGTTTCTTTCTGTGCCCCTTCATCCGATCTCCTCCAATTTCCTCACCTCCTTCCTTTGGCAAAGTCCTCACTAAGGTGCGTGGAGAGGGCATGTTGGCCGAAAGCAAACGTTTAGATTCGCCTGCAGCTGGAGCGGCTGGCGCCTCCGCTGCCGCCGCCGCCGCCGCCGCCGCCGGGGGTCACCACACGCGCACGCACGCGCGGCCCCGCGCCGGACGCCGGACGCGGGCCTGGCGGGACCCCTCCCCCGACTCAGAGGGGGGAGGCGCGGGCCGCGGTAGGCAAAGAGCGGCGCTCGGCCCCACCGCGGGGCCGGCGCAAGCCCTCCCGCGAGGGGGCGAGGGAGGGCGAGGGCCTCTGCTGCCCACGTGCTCTGGCACAGTCGCCATCGTGGCCACTGCACGCTTGGGAGGGGCAGCGGCTGGGGGGTCCGGTACCCCAAGGCTCCCTCTCGGATCGCTAGAGAAGGCTTTCTCACCGAGGGTGCGTCATCCCCCACCCATCGTCTCTGCCCTTCGGGCCCACGGGGGGCGGCTCCACGAGCCGGCCCAAGGCCACGACTGGCCGTGGGAGGGGTGGGGGGGGTCTGCGGTATGGGTAAGCACACGGCCCACAGGAGCGTGCGCGGCCTCAGCCGTGGGGGGGGGGTGGCGGGGCACAACCTCTGCCGCCCCCCCCTCCCCGGGCTCGTCCCCCGGGCTCCGGTAGGAGGGAGCACGCCCGAGAAGCGCGGCAGCCCCCCCACCCTACCTCTATAGCTAAGCCCCGGGCTCCAACGCGATCGCACCCACGGCCGTGTGGGGCGACGACGGCGACGAGGAGGCACCTGTCCCCCGCCGAAGAGAGAGAAGCGGAGGCAAGCCTCACGCCCCTTACCGCCTCGACCCCCCCAAGGGAGCCACTCGCGGGACACACCACCACGGTGGAGACCCCGAGGAACACGCTGGGATAAAGGGAACGACACCACCGCTCGGCCTCGGGCACCTGAGGGACGACCTGGAGCGATCCAGGGGCACCACAGAGGGCCAAACCAAGGCACGCTCACGCGCCGGCAGGGGGCACGCAGCGCAGCGGCGGGACGGCCCCCCCCACCGACGCGGGGAGGACCGCTCGCGAGGCACACGCCAAGGAGGCGAAGCGAGAGCGTCTGCTGCGTCCGAGGACCACGGCCCCCGCCCACGCCGTGAGGCAGAGGGCGGGAGACCGAAGGTCAGGGCCGGGGACCCGCCACCCCTGCCCTCCCCCACACCCCTCGGCAAGCCGGCAGGGCGTGACGGGAGAGGCGACTAACTCACTCTGTGGCCCTGGACCCAGTTCTTAATGCATCTACCTGGGCCTTGTTTTCCTCATCTGCAAAATGGGGAAGTGAATATCTACTCCATGAGATTGTTGTCTAAAGCACCATGGCATATAATAGAGGCTCAGAAAATGGTTACTCACAACCAGTGTCCTTGTTCTAAGACTCCATCCTTGCTGTCCCCTTCTGAAGCACGGGGGAGAAGTGAGCACACATGATTGGGAGGGCCTTGGACAGACTGGGTGTGGTGTCCACATTCAGAGAAACACCCTGGGGTGTGGCAAGCCTCTTGCTTTCCTTTCCCCAAATC